AAAAACAAAGGAAACAGGAGAAAAGACAGAAAGAGATTAGAACTGGCTACAGATCTCTAGAGTTGTTAGAGTTACAGTACAGAACAGATTGGCTGCTGCTGATGCAATGCTTCTCAACAAAAACAGCATGCGGCTTGCTTAGCTTTTTATGCTTGCAACGAACAAAATCTTATATTTTACATCGTTTTGAAATTAAAAGACTTAAATGCATATCTCCCACAGCCTTTCATGTCAGGGTTTTAGACCAAAAAGAAATGTCAAGAGTTTAAATGTTTAAAACAATGCACAGATAACAGAGTATTGTGGATGGCTCTCAGCTACTACCACACCAAAATGTAGCTTAATATCTGTAAAATTAGCATCTGACTCATTTATATGTAACAGTACATCGTCTACAAAATGCACAGTCAGAGCTAAATGTTTACTCTAATGCGATTGTACAACATTAAGCTAACATTCATAGCATCATTATAAACTGAATGCTTTATAAATAAAATAATATATATGGCAGATTATGTCAAGACCTCCACTTAGTTTTGTTCCTCTTTTTTGATGATAAGCTTAAATGATAGTTGGCGTGCTATAATTCAAGCCATCTTGTGTTGGGGAGATTCCAAAAGTTAACCTGTATATCCAGCAATGTTCAGTCAGGTCATCTGGACATTTTTTTTTTAAATTTGCTGAGACGTTTCATTCGTCATCCAATGGACTTCTTCAAACTATGTTGTTCTGAACCACTTGGACGTGGCTGACGCGTCGTGTTTGTTACGCGTCACCGCTGACAACTCGAAAATGTGGGCAGGCGTTGTGCCAAAAATCGATTGGCTGCCAAATGGCGGCCGTGGGAGCGTGCACGGGAAGACTTCAACAAGAATTTAACAAGATTAACACTTAAAAACAATTATTTGTTTGCTCAAAATTATAGTAAAGGTGTGTCTCAGTCAAACTTTTCCTTAATAAATGCACTCTGATGGTCAAATCGGCTGCATTTTCAAAAGCCGATATGCGGAAACATGAACGCGCAGAGGGCGAATCGCTGTCCATTTTTTCAAAATTTAACAAGATAATCATCTAAAAACAATTATTAGTTTGCTCGACTTTATAGTGAAGGTGTGTCTCAGTTGAACTTTTACTTAATAAATGCATTTTAATGGTCAAATTAGCTGTATTTTGCTGGGGCGGCGCAGCAAAATGAAGCTGATTTGACGGTTGCTCCAGGCAGATGACGGTGTCAGACAATGGCAAGCCAATTGTGTCATTAATAGCCACTTTTACCTATTACATGATACAACGACATGCCATACAACTCGACTGCCATTTAGTGGCTGAAAATGGTAGTGTTTAATATTTTCAGCCAGAATGAATGAAAACAGTCATATCGCAGCCAAAGACTGGTTTATAAATATGGAAAAAATCCATAAATATGTCAATTCGGCCTATAAGTCGCAGGGCATGCAAATTATACAAAAAAACGTGACTTATAGGGCGAAAAATACGATATGCTGTTTGTGGAGAATCAGTTTTGTTTTGGTGGCTCCTCAGATTGAAGAAGTCCGTTGGATGACGGACGAAACATCTCAATCAGTCCAGATGACCTGACTGAACACTGATGGATTTTATGTCTGGATTATTGAGCATGGACACCATGTTGGTGTTAATCTGTATATGTCGAATGATTACTTTTTCCAAGATTCAGTAAAGTTTGTCCAGTGGTTCATAAGATATTTTGCTAACAGACAGACACATGAACACACACATATGAAGACACCACCTTCCATCTTACTGTAGCGGGTGATAATTAACCCAAGTCTTCATGTTTTATGAAAGTTCATCTCAAACGTACAGTTTGAAGCCTGCTGTATCTTTGTGCTTTTACACAAAACTACGTTCAGCTGGTGTTTTCAGGGAGAATTCAGCCATGCAGCGAGCTGACGATGATGATGATAAGCCATTTTAGAGCTGAAGGAGCCTCTTAGAGCTCTGCCAGTGTAAAGCAGAGCAACATCTGTGTGAAGCCTGGGCAGAAAGGCTGCTTCAACATGTGAGAGATCAGATTACAAAAGATACAACACACATTTTGGAAAATAAACAAGAGGAATATGGAGGAGGCAGAGGGGACAAAACAAGTATGTCCTCAACAATTAAAGTGCATCAAGTAAGGAAAAAAATATGCTTTAGTGCAATGTGCACTTAAACACACAACAAACACACACAAACATTTACACACCTGACTTCAGGTGAGTCAAGAGTCAAAATGCTCCAAAATATCTTTGTCAGAACTCTCTTCAATCTTTTTCTTTGAGTCCCTGAAATGTTCTCCATCCCTGCTCCTCAATGATTTGCTTTCAGATAGTTTTTCTGCCAAGTTTGTCACACAAAAACAGTCTGTGTTAAATTAATGACGTGCATGTGGGTGTGTGCGTGTGCGCCTGTGCTTCACGAACTGTAAGGAGCCTAAAATTGGAACCAAAAGTTTTGTCACATTCCTGATGATGTTGATGAATTCTTTGCTTCAGGATAATGTGAAATGAAATCATCAGGTTTCAGTCTTTGTAACAGAAGAAAGTTGAACTTTTGGTGTCAGTGCAAACACTTGCCAGCACCTGCATCAAAGACTACATTCTTCAGGGTGTAGTCCCATTAAAAATGTTAGAAATCATACCTGAAACCTTTTAGTTTTTGAGGTTACAGTAAATGGAAAAATGTTTTGCAGAAAGAAAAACGGTAAAAATCAGAACACAGCATATTCCCCTCAAGCTGATCCATGTTAAGTTTAGTTCAGCATTAAGTTTGCAAGACGACACTAAAATTCAGTGTAGTGTTTCTGTTTTTTAGGCCTGATGCAACGTGAGTGCTTTTGCACGATGATATCGTTTTCAGGACGAGGACTCAAAACAGCCAAAAAATCTATTACTTCCAATCCAAATGGAATAATCTAAAATAAAAAGTAAAAAAAACAAACAAACAGTTTAGATCTTTTGAAATGGGGTTCTGTGGAGCGTAATGGTTAATTAATATCCTACATGTTGTCGATAGCTCTTTGGAGGATGTCAATTAGGAAAAAAAAAAAAGAGTTGAATTCTGACCTGATGGATGAACTAACGGCCACTCAGGGCAGAGCAATGACCAAAGTGGATCCAAGCCATATAAAACAACACCAATCTCAAAAACTTTCATGTAAATCTGGTTCTATAAACCTTTGAATCACTGTCAGTTTTGCTTTATACATTTATTTACTTTATGGTTATTTGATGGCTAAAGCAGCAGCTAGCTGTAGCATTTCTGGTGCAGCTTTGGGAACTTCCAGCTGGAATAGCTAAATTTCTGCCTGAAAACCGTGCAATGTGAAACAGACATGAACCACTGTAATATTTCTGAGATTGTAGTTGTTTATTATGACTGCAATACAATTAGTTTTTAGACCTGTTGTTTAGACTAATCATTAACTAATCAACGGTCAGAACTAAACTATTTCTCAAAATTGAAGTTCTTTGCAGCGCTACATACAACATGTGCATACGTGTATCATTTGTTCATACCCTTTCCACAGAATCTCACTTTAAAATATCTGAGCTATTAAAGGCGACATCTTGATGTCAGTGACAAACTGGTTGATCCACTATGAGAAGGTGCTGTTTACTGAGTTTCTTGCAGCTCCTCAGACTGAAGAAGTCTTTAGGATAAAAGACAAAATGTTTCATCAAAGAAGAAGAACATGTTCAGAGGACCTGACTCCGTCTTGTTAGATTTATCTACCTGGATTACTGAGCATGCATCAGGACCTCTGAGCTATGACTTTATGCTTTATTTCTGTCAGGAGGCTGTTTATAAAATCATTGTTCTGTTAAATGGCGGCTCAGTTGGTAGAGCCGTTTCCTCTCAGCGAGACGGTCACCGGATCGAATCCCAGCCTGGGCCTTTCAGGGTGGAGTTTTCATGTTCTCTCCGTTCATACGTGGCTTTTCTCCATGCACTCTGGTTTCCTCCCACCAAATAAAAACATGCGTTAGGCTGATTGGTAACTCTAAATTGTTCCTAGGTGTGAGTGAGAGTGTGAATGGGTGTTTATCTCATTTGTCTCTATGTGTCTCTGTAATGGACTTGTGACCTGTCCAGGTGTCCCCCACCTCTCACACAGTGACTGTTGGATATGGGCACCAGTGACCCCCCACAACCCAGAACGGAAGAAGCGGGTAACAATAGATGGATGTTTTAGAAACATTTAAAAGGCAGTATCTTTCAGAATAAGAAAGTTCATGTGCAACATCCAAACAACGTACTGAAGTTTAAAGCCGTCAGAGGAACTACTTGGTGTGGGTCAGTGATGAAAACCATCGACACTTCAGCAGGATTTATGACAGCCGGACATCGAGGTGTGTGACGAGTGTGTGAAATGTGTACAAGGGTCAGTGGGTGGAACGGAGAATGAATGACTTTGGTGTACATACGCCGGTACAAAGGCCGACCTCCTGCATGAGCTCAGTTATTGGCGCTTTCTTCTCTGTGTGCATCAAGGTCAAAACAGAGGCTGATTACAGGGCATTCTCCAGAGCCACAGGGAGTGTGAGAGGGTGTGTGTGTGTGCGTGTGCGCAAAGAGGCTTTCCTTTTGAACACAAGCAGTGGTGGCATTCCTGGCCCTAGGCACTGGCTCTTGAAGCCAGGTCTCAAGGAATTTGGGAAATGTGGAAGGGGGCATATCGCTGACTGTGAACAGGAGAAGGTGAGATGGGAGAGTGATGAGGGCCGGGCAGGGCAGCAGGGAAGGGAAACATTTTGTTTGCCTTTTGTGGCCCCCTGGAGGATTAACTTAGTAACATAAATTAAACAAGATTGTATGATTAATAAAAATATGAAGGTTAAGGATTAAAGATGAAAAAGAGGTGTGATGAGAAAGATTAGGGCTAAAAGTTGCAATTATGAACGATGCAATTGGAAGGTTTGTCTTTTTTCACACACATAGAAAAGATCATTCACAAGAGAAGACAATGACTTTGTTACCGTTTCCTCTGTCTCCAGCTCTTTGCTGAGCAGCTTCTTCTCTGCACAGTGCACTTGCCTCTGCAGACTCTCCACCTTCTCCTGCAGAGCCTGGGGAAGAGCAGAGATGGGAACTGAAAAACAGCTGTGTACAAATCTGTGCTTTGACATGCATGTGACACAAACCGATAGATGCTGATCTACAGTGACTTTTCAGCAGACTGCAGAAGAAACTTCAGCTGAATGAGAGGTTGAAATATGTAGGCAGAAACCAATGAGAATATGTTAAAGAGATTAAAAAAACAGTTATGGTAGTAATTAAAGGACAAACGCTTTAGCAAGAACAAAGAGATTTTGTCCCCTCAGTGAAAAAATGAGCAGTTTTTCATGTAGGTTGAGAAAAAAAGACAAGATGATGGTTACATTCATTCAGTAAAAATAAACTTTATTGCAGTTTTTTCCCAACATTTAGGTAAGAGAGAAAATATAAATGAGCTTTGTGTGCTGTTCAGATCTTCTCTGCCTATAAGTGATAGCAAGGCGCAGTTCCTGAGTGCAACACAGAACCAGATGTTTTCAGTGCACATGTGGACATTTCATCTCTGATTAGTCTGCGTGCAAAACAGAGAGAGCGATGTGTGCACTTTGCACTTATGCACACACACACACACACACACACACACACACACACACACACACACACATACACCTTTGACGTGTGTGTGAGGCTCTGGCAACAATCAATATCCACACCATCACCTTCCCCCATCTCCCCCCCCCCCCCCCCCACCCCCACCCCTCCGGAGCTGAGTGAGTGGACCAGGTGTTAGTTTGTTGATTTTCTGGGCGGAAGGAAACACAGTCCAGGTGATAGGCATGACCACCTGATCTACAACCCAATCAGCTGACATAAATTACCCCCCCCCCCCCTCCAACCCCACACACTCTGATTTATAAACAGTTAAAATTTAAAATATGAAGAGAAGAGTGTTCACTCACAGAATCTGAAGGACTATAAGACCACATTTTGGTCATTTAGGTTTATTTCATTAATCTGAGACATCAAAGTTGTTTGCTTCCACCACAGTTTGTTGACAAATTTCTGTCACTTTTTTTACTCTGCAGTTAATATCTCACTTTGCATAAACAAGACCAGCTGCTTATTAAAGTGCTTCATATTAAACTTTTATAACATAGTAAATAACTTTTCGGTGTTTAGCTCCAGTGCAACATGAAGATCAACATGTAAACTACACAAAGTTTATGATTTGTGCCCATTATTATTATTATTTTTTTACTGTTTTTTTTTTAACGTTTTAATATTAATGTTGGATGTAACTGGGACCCTGTGTACACAATTTCGTTCCACCTCATGTACCACATGTGGTGTGTATGACAAATAAAGAACCTCAAATCCTTGAATTTATTGGTAATTCATGCGCTGTGTGTTAGGGAATTTGTGGTAAAAGTTTATGGATGTTTTTAACTACTATGGCTGAGAATGTTAACTCCGCCCATGAACCATATGTTTGGGTTAGCAGGGAGAGCTGGATCAGGAGTTGGGTGAGGCAGCTGTTGCCTCAGAGTCCATGAGCTCGGCTGAATTGATGAGTGTATAAAAACAAGCTTCACACACAGCTCATGGCAGATATTTGTGTGTACTTCCTGTATATCTGTGTAACCTGCCCTGAAAATCTGACCTTGCAAGTAAAATATGGGTTAAAAACCTCCTGCTGTGTTGAGTGTAGCTCCTTTTGAGTTAGTAAGATAAAGCAAGAATAATTTTTCCAACACTGTAGTCTCCAGTGTTTTGATGTCACAACTTTACCCAAAACTTAGCCTACATAGAACTAACTGTGGCAGAGCTAACGTGAAAAATTGTCTTGACATAATATCTACAGTATAATAAACGAACAACAAGAACAACAAAAAAACAAATTAATCTTGTCAAGCCGCAATATAAAACAGAAAAAAATCCAAATGTGAAGTTATAAGAACTGCTTTGATGAAAGTTATTCAACTTTAAAATTAACTTATTTTCTTTAAAGTGGCATTTTTTTTGGCTTCTGGAGGACAGATCCATAAATACCAACACGCAGTCCTTTTCACACATGGATTTTAGTTTTAAAGTAAGAAAAAAAAAAGGACTGAAACTGACCCTTTTCAGTTTTGGTCATTCACAAATGCAAAACAGAGGTGGCTTAAAGATGTTTTTGCACGTCGTCCTTTGAATTCACACAAACGTTAATTCAGCTCTGACTGTTGCCAGCTCAGAGGTGTTTAGCAGTGAATCACACAGGACAGCAAAAGGCAAGAAGGTGTACTGATCCCATCTTCAGAAGTGTGTGAAAGGTACAACAGACCGTCATGATTCTAGGTCTGTTTTAGTACTTCAGACTAAGGTTATTAGGTTTTAGTCTAGGTTTTAGCTCGGGCCAGAGTTCGCCTTTTTGTTCCGTGACAGAGTTCGATGGCGCGTTCACACCTCCCTAAACGAACCGGACTTCCTAGGAAAACGAGCTAGAATTTGATTAAAGCGGACTAAACAGGGCTGGTGTGAATGCACCCTAAGAAGGCTCCAGAATAATCCTAATAACAATATTAATTCTTTGGCATTCACAGACCACAAATTTATTTTTGTCAAGTTTACATACACAGATTGCAATAGAGTTGAAAGTGAAGTATTTTCTTTTTATTTAGAACCTTTAACTTATTAACAGTGAAAGTATTTTGCAGTTTTTCAGTCATATATATATTTATTTAACCTTTATTTATACAGGTAGTCTCAATGATTCATGAGGACTCATTTTCAAGAGACCTGATCAAGTTTTAGAATATACAAAAAAAAAAGAAAAAAGGATGGATTTTTATTTCAACACGCGTAACAATCACAGTAGGAGTAACTGTAAATGTCAGGGAGAAGCACGCTTATCTACATGTGATCATTACGTCTGCTGTACGAGATGAAGATGAGAAACCCTGACCCCCCCGCCACCCAAACCAAAGTCTACTTCCCGAACTGTGACGCAGCATTTCTGAACCACTTCTTCTGGGAAGGACCGTTAAGTAAAGGGCTTCATTGGTGACATGCACTTTCTTGTGGGTTCCACATTTGACGTGCTTGAATCCTGTCTGAGGTCACGAGTTCATCATTTGTCACTTGGTTAATAGAATCAAATGGGATGATGCTGCTGACGAACAGAAGGAGCTTTGTGAGTCATAAAGACTCTAGACTTATTTATTGCAGCCAGACAGCATGGGTGGATGGTGTTACCGAAATTTCTCCAACTCAAATAGAGATGTTTTTTAATAAAAAACAACAACAACAACAAAACTGACAACAATGTCGGTGAGGTAAAATTAAACTCCTTGGAACACCTGTCTTACTAATGCAGCTAAAACAGCAGCGGCTGACAAATTCAGAGCAAAAAATGAGGCAAATATCTGAAAAGATTTTTAGTTTTTGTAACAACTAATAATGGAACTTTCTTCAAATATTTATGCTCAGCATGATGTCTCTCTTAAATAATAGGACGCAGTTTGCTTCCACTGTAACGTGGAGGAGCACCGTGTGCAGAGCATGAAGCTGATTCATTAACTGTTTGAGAGTTTTATGAAAATTCAACCATGCATTCATGAGATACTGTATTTTTTGCTAACAGACCAACAAGAATGACTTCAACAAATATGGCAAAGATTTAACACAGAGTAGCATCGGCAGAATGTGTTGTGAACAACTTTCAAATACTACTATGCTAAATTTTAGCTTAACATCTTAAAAACAGACAGATTTAGCCACTTTAGTGTTTGTTAAGGTCTTCTGCTTTTAGTATTTTACCTATATGGCATCTTGATTTGACTGTGTTTATAACTTATTTTATTTTATTTAAATTGCTTTTTGTTGAATTGTTGTTGTCTGTATCTTATATGCTATCTGTCGAAAAAAAGTCCCTTGTAAATGAGTACTTGTTACTCGAGACGAATCTGTATAAATAAAGGTTGAATGAATAAATGAATGAATCCGAGTGTGGCAACTATATTCAACTGGACTGGTTCCAAAGTTATCCAGTTGTGCATCCACTGATTTTTTTCCCTAAAGTTTCTTTACAGTTCATTCAGTGGTTCATAAGATATTATATAAAACAAAGGACTCAAATACTTAAAGGAAACATTTTAAATTGAAGTCTTGTGCAATCGGTTAACGCTCAGAATATTTGTTAAAGATCAGCCTCGGCTAGTTCATAACAAATTTTATAGTTTGACAGTTATAGCCATTTTTTAGGGTTAATTAGCTGTGGCAGCCATTTTAAATTGGGCTGAATCCAAATTAATCAGTTGTAGATGTAGATTCTGATTACTTTCTGCAAGTTTAATTAAATTTATCGAATGGTTTATGAGATATTTTGCAGACAGACAAACAGACAAAAACATTACCGTCTGAGCAATAACTATGTGAAGTAAAAACAAAACATTTTGAGCTGCAAAACAAAAAGAAAATCTAAGAGAAATGTGACCCCATAAAGAGGAGAGTACAAAACATTAAGAATGGTGAAAAAAAAAAGAAACTACGAGATCCTAAGAAAAATAATGGAGGTGAAGGAGAGCGAGACACGTGGTTGGGTTGAAGAGATCGGGTCAGCAGCGTACCTCTGAGGCCTCTTTCACCTCTCCATCAACAAATGTGGTTTTGCCTTTCGTTCATTCCAAACTTCGGCTCAAAGGAGCAGCGAGGCACACGTGCACCGACAAACTCTGCTCGAAGGGATTCGTGCAGGTATAGGCACGCATCAATATTAACAAAACAAGTTCTGAAAATGTGAGCGCTGCACTCAAGTCAAATGAGTGTGCAGTTATCATGCCGCGTGCACACACACACACACAGACGCAGCGATGCCTGAGTCATTCTTTCCTGGGTGGTCCTCCTGCGCAGATAAGGCAAGCATGTTTCCCTAGGGTGAAGTAAAAGCAACAGAGGGCAGGGGAAAAAAGCAAAGAAGAAAGAAAGGAGGGAATAGTGGGAGGAGGGAAGAAAAAAAGGCCAGGGGCCTCTTTAAACTTGGTGTTTTGTTAGGAGCTGAGCTGCTCTTCATGTGCGGCGAGGCCTTCTATTT